AGGGAATAAATGCACTAGTAATAGTATAAACACCGTCATTCAATATAAACATGGTTTGTTTTACCTATTCCATATCATAATATCTTGACCTCAACGTCACCACACTGCTGCATACAAAACAATGAGTTAAAAAAGTAACAAATGCCTGAAGGTTTCTGTGCTCTCAAATTCAGCAGTTTTTTGATCGAGCTTAACTATTTCATAGCTCAACTTAATCTCGTGTCTTTTTAATGTCTTCTCATTTCTAGAAAGAAAGCACATTCTGAATGTCTCTGTTCCTTGCCTCAATTTACTAATCTCACTTGCATTTCTCTCCAGTCTAGTTTTCAGACATTTTAACACCACAACTAATCCAATTTTCATCTGCTCTGCATTCTTCATACGTTGACCAAAAGGCGTCTGCAAGTGTTCTTCTAGATCGCGTGAATGGGTAAAACACTTATCGCATTGTTTGCATTGAAATGGCTTCATCCTTGTACGTGTACAAATAAGATTTTTTAAATTACCATGTCGCTTGTATTGGTATAACTTCAACCTTGTATGTGTACGCATGTGCTGCTTGAGATTACTAGACTGATTAAAACATTTCGCGCATTGCTTGCACTGAAAAGGCTTCAACCCTGTATGTGTAAGCATGTGCTTTTTTAGACTACCAGACTGAGTAAAACATTTTGCGCATTGCTTGCATTGAAATGGCTTCGAACCTGCATGTATAAGCATGTGCTGTTTTAGATTACCAGAGTGATTAAAACACTTCTCGCATTGCTTGCACTGAAAGGGCTTCAGTCCTGTATGTGTAATCATGTGTGTTTTTAGACTACTAGACTGTGTAAAACATTTCGCGCATTGCTTGCACTGAAATGGCTTCGAACCTGCATGTATAAGCATGTGCGTTTTTAGTCTACCAGATTGAGTAAAACATTTCGCGCATTGCTTGCACTGAAATGGCTTCAACCCTGTATGTGTAAGCATGTGCGTTTTTAGATTAACAGATTGAGTAAAACTTTTCGCGCATTGCTTGCACTGAAATGGCTTCGAATCTGCATGTATAACCATGTGCTGTTTTAAAGTACCAGAGTGATTAAAACACTTCTCGCATTGCTTGCACTGAAAGGGCTTCAGTCCTGTATGTATAAGCATGTGTGATTTTAGAGTACTAGACTGTGTAAAACATTTTGCGCATTGCTTGCATTGAAATGGCTTCGAACCTGCATGTATAAACATGTGCTGTTTCAGATTACAAGAGTGATTAAAACACTTCTCGCATTGCTTGCACTGAAAGGGCTTCAGTCCTGTATGTGTAAGCATGTGCTGTTTTAGATGGCTAGACTGATTAAAACCTTTCCCGCATTGCTTGCACTGAAATGGCTTCACCCCTGGATGTTTAACCATGTGCTGTTTTAGATTGCTAGAATGAGTAAAACCTTCCCCGCATTGGTTGCACTGAAATGGCTTAAACTCTGTATGTGTCAGCATGTGTCTTTTTAGATCAACGGACCGAGTAAAACACTTTTCACATTGCTTGCACTGGAACTCTTTCTTCTTGAGTTGCACATATTCAGGGTCTAAGTTGACATCAACATCACCTCTACTTTTAGTTGGATTTTCTTGCATTGTATTTACTTAATTATTCATATGTATAAACAATTAACGAAGAAGTCTCACTTCTCTTAATCCGCAACTCAATTAAAAGTGATGAGGCAATCTTCAATACATTGGCAGCATTCTTAGATTATACCTGCAAAATAACAAATCAAATCTGAGACTCGTGTGTACAATTATAATAAGAACGTCCAATATATCACAGTATTTTTACAGTATGAGCAGCCCAGTTAGCTAAACCGATGAATATCTTACTATTATAGTATACCACCTTTGTATGTCTGTATATAGAACACAGAAACTTAAATTATGTATTGTTGTTGAAAATTTGCCTTCGTGATTTCCATGATATATTAGTGAAATTATTCACCAAATTACTTGTTGCTGACATTTTCCCAAATGACGGGGTGGCTAGTTTAGTAGTATCCCTTCATCAGAATAACGTTGCTGTTATTGTTGGGTCAAATATTCTCATGCGATGTTTACAATAGAATAAACACCTGGGTCTAGAACAATTGTCCTTTAAATGAAAATCAAGCTGGGTTTGCAAATAATATAGTATATTGAAAAGGGTGTTCGATCGCTTTAACCATTATTTCTTAATCTACACGCTGTTTAGTGTGGTTTTCATAGCATTTTATTCAAACTTTACAGTGCATACACAGCAGTCAAATGGAATCGCGGATGTATTTAAATGCTTATGCGAGGTTCATCAAGGTTCCATTTGTCGCCTTTATTATTTGTATTATTTATTAATGAGCTCAGAGGGTATTTTCAGCAACGACTCTATATGTTGGTTCGCTAAAAATATTTTACTTACTATATGTGGATGATTTGATTTTGTTTTGCTCCAATCCTTAATGGGAACTTGAAGTAAATGCAAATAAAACCACAATCGTAGTCTTCAGGAAAGCGGTACCTTGAGGAAATAAAAGACAGGGTGATTCAATGGACAAGCATTTAAATTTGTATCTTCCTTTACCTACTTTGGTATCAAGTTTTCCTCTAGTGGACGTTAGTTTATAGCTCAACAAACCTTGTTGAACAAGCATGTAAAGGAATGTTTGCTAAATATAGTTTAATTGACGTACAAGTGTATTTGATTTGTTTTTTATTGTTGAGTAATAAATATTCATGTACGGGAGTAAAGTTTGAAGGTTTGATTTAGCAGGAATGTCAAAAAGGCGCATCGGAGATGTTTCAAATATGTCTTCCAATACACAAAACCCTGTTATTTTTGAAGGGTTGAAAAGACATGTCCTGTTATGGCACAATTCCAGAAGACGTACCGACACTTCATGCAATTGTTTTAAATGATGCTAATTTATTCATGACGTGGTAGTTTCTGTGCTCATGGATATCCATTATTTTGTGGGTCGATACATTCTAAAAGGGGCGATACATTATATAAGGCGGCAAGAGTTATAAATGGGGAATTAGCAATCATTAGCCACTGTCTTGTCCACTGTACCACGAGGGTCTTCACACAAGTAAAAGGATTTAAGTTAGATTTATAGGAGAACAGTTCTCAATAGTATTTACAAATCCCATTGTGAGAATGACAGGCAGGAATGGGATTTAAATGCGGGTCATCATGATATCTATGCAGAAAAGTGACATACAACATCCTAATGAACTGACTGATTGTGTTTGCATTTGATGAGACTATATATTGTGTATATATAAAGATATACTAT